AGGCCTCTCCGTCATCTGCTGCAGAGCCACAGGCCTCTCCGTCGTCTGCTGCAGAGCCTCAGGCCTCTCCGTCGTCTGCTGCAAAGCCACAGGCCTCTCCGTTGTCTGCTGCAGAACCTCAGGCCTCTCCGTCATCTGCTGCAGAGCCACAGGCCTCTCCGTCGTCTGCTGCAGAGCCACATGCCTCTCCGTCGTCTGCTACAGAGCCACAGGCCCCTCCGTCGTTTGCTGCAGAGCCACAGGCCTCTCCGTCATCTGCTGCAGAGCCACAGGCCTCTCCGTTGTCTGCTGCAGAGCCACATGCCTCTCCGTCGTCTGCTGCAGAGCCACAGGCCCCTCCGTCGTTTGCTGCAGAGCCACAAGCCTCTCCGTCGTCTGCTGTAGAGCCACAGGCCTCTCCGTTGTCTGCTGCAGAGCCACAGGCCTCTCCGTCGTCTGCTGCAGAGCCACAGGCCTCCATGACAGCAGCAGCAACTCCCCAGGCCTCCATGACAGCAGCAGCAACTCCCCAGGCCTCCATGACAACAGCAGCAACTTCCCAGGCCTCCATGACGCATGCTGCAGCTCCCCAGGACTCTATGGCGCATGCTGCAGCTCCCTAGCACTCCATGACGCATGCTGCGTCCTCCAAGGTCTTTTCGCCGCCAGATGCGGCCTTCAAGGTCTCATCGCCGCCAGATGCGGCCTTCAAGGTCTCTTCGCCGCCAGATAAGGCCTCCAAGGTCTCTTCGCCACCAGATGCGGCCTCCAAGGTCTCTTCGCCGCCAGATGTGGCCTTCAAGGTCTCTTTGCCGCCAGATGCGCCCTTCAAGGTCTCTTCGCCGCCAGATGTGGCCTCCAAGGTCTCTTCGCCGCCAGACGCGGCCTCCAAGGTCTCTTCGCCGCCAGACGCGGCCTCCAAGGTCTCTTCGCCGCCAGACGCGGCCTCCAAGTCGTCATCGCCGCCAGACGCGGCCTCCAAGTCGTCATCGCCGCCAGACGCGGCCTCCAAGTCGTCATCGCCGCCAGACGCGGCCTCCAAGTCGTCATCGCCGCCAGACGTGACCCCCAAGTCGTCATCGCCGCCATACGCGGCCTCCAAGTCGTCATCGCCTCCAGACGCGGCCTCCAAGTCGTCATCGCCGCCAGACGCGGCCTCCAAGTCGTCATCGCCGCCAGATGCGGCCTCCAAGTCGTCATCACCGCCAGATGCGGCCTCCAAGTCGTCATCGCCGCCTCCGCGGCCTCTCTGGTCCTGTGTATTGGACGACCTCCCGGCCGCCCCCCGGAACGTGGTTCCCGTGATGGACGGCCTCCCGGCCGCCCCCCTGACCTGGTCCGGCTTGATGGATGGTCTCCCGGCAGCCCGCCGGAACAATGACTTCTAGGGACGGTCTCTTGACCGTCCAAATCCTTTGTGTTCCCTGCTTTTGTTTTGCCGTAGTTTTTTCAGGTCTTTGGTTTCTTCCTTGTGTTTCCTCGGGCCCTCCACCCTTGCAGTGCCGCCCTCCACCCGCCCAAGTCCTTCGGGAGGGGGGGTTTTGGGGACGCCTGGGGCCGTCCTTAAGGGGGGGGGGGGGTACTGTAAGGATGGTACCATTTGGTGGTCCGGTTTGTGTCTGTGTTCTCTAGTGTTTTCCCTTTAGTTCAATTGGTGCCACCCTTGTCTCGTCACAGCTGTTTGTAATCACGTCTCGTCTTGTCCCTGTATATAAGCCGTCTGTTCAGTCTTGTTCTTTGTCGCATCGTCTTCGTTGGGCCTCCGTGTTTCCCTGAGTCTTCCGAGTTCTCCTGAGTCTTCTGAGTTTCCCTGAGTCTTCTGAGTTCCCCGAGTTCCTTCCGAGTTTCCTGTTCATCCTGTTATGTAAGTTTTGCTGCCTCGTCAGCCTGTTATTTTGTATTTTTATTATCATTAAATATCTAATTTTGTATTTCTGCCGAGTTGAGTCCCTGTCTGCACTACTGGGTTCGTCCCTGACCCGAAAACCCTGACAGTGGTGACGTAGATGATACGCAGAGCTCGAGTCCAGAAGGAGTTAGCGGTAGCAGGCTAGGCTGTGGTGTAGTCTACATTTTTGTAGTGGGTCTACTGTGCTTAGAAACCAAAGTGCACCAGTTAGTTTAATATAATCATTAATTTCTTTGGATTTTTAAGCACATTAAACATTTCTTAATTTCTCTGATGCTTATATTTGAATAAATGTACAACAAACTTTGTACAACAATTGGCTTTGTATTAAAACCATGTTATAAAATGTATAAAACATTATCAAAACAAAACATGTTCAAGTATTAAGTAGTAAGTACAGAAGTATTAATTATACAAAAAAACAGGTTGAACCAACTCAATGTGTCTATAAAATGTTCCAGATGGGTTGACAATGACATGAGACCATGGTCATGTATCATTGCCAATGATACATGACATGGGCTCGTGTCAGTGGGCTCTTTTAAGTGGGTATACAGAAATTCCCAAGCTTTTTTAGTGGGTATACTTCGTATGCCCGCGTATCGCATAGACTACACCACTGAGGCTAGGTTAATCTACAACACGCAGTAAGTTTTCGCTTTAAAATGAGTGCCCATGACTGTCAGAATGTGACTGAACAAGCTTTCACAAGCGAAGAGAAAGCAGATGACATAACTGATAAGAGAGGAAAGACTAATTTGGCGGCTTGGAAGTGGTTCGGCTTTCTAAGATCTGATAAACTGCAGGTTTCAGTGTGCTACAAAATGTGTCATAGGCTCATTCCAACTAGTGGTGGGAACACTTCTAACTTGTTCTGCTCGATAGAATTTGCTGATAGTTAGAAGATGAAGCACAATAAAAGTTTGAGCCAATGTTTCCCTGAAACACCCCCAGCTGTATCAAAAGAGAAACCCATGCAGCTGCATGGGTTAGGGTTGCACTGTTGTTTAAAGTTAAAACTATTAATATTGACAAAGTTGAGAGTTTTATGTTTATTTGACAGTGATTTCAAATTTCTTTGAAGGCTAAATACAAATAAAAGGTGAACATTAATTTGTAGTTTGTACAGTTTTTCTGAGGCTTTTATATTGTTTATATCAATATCGGAATTATTTCGTTAACGACCGAAATTAACAAATATATTGTAATAAAAGTTTTGGCCATATCGTCCAGCCCTACTTCCAGACAGCACCATAGTCCTGTTAGGATGTTGGTGTCAGCCGGTACAGCGCATATTTATTTTTCTTTCTTTTTTTTTCATTTACCCTTTATTTAAACAGGTAGTCTCACTGAGTCACGAGAACTCATTTTTCAAGAGAGACCTGTTCTTGGGAGCAGATGGTGGGGTTAGGGGCCTTGCTCAGGGGCCCAGAGTGGGACAAATGAGGATGGAGGCAGGTGTGGGTGTTTCACATTTACCACCCACATTTTAATGCTGACGGTACTGGGAGTTGAGCTTGCGACTTTCCAATCACAGGCCCATCTTCTCTAACCTCTGTGCCACCACTCCCCAGATAAGCATTCACAGAAGTTCTGGGGGTGGGGGGGGGGGGGGGGGGGGGGGGTGATAGACAGAGACTTCTTAGCTTACACATATCCCAGGAGAAATTTGATGTCTGCCTGCTTCAAGGCCGAACGGGGGAGTCAGATTCAGATAAGCCACAGTTGTTGATTTCTTTTAAGGAAGACTGTTATTTCTCGTCAGCCTTGAGTTCTGCTGGTACTTTGAATCCAAAATGGCCAGATTTGTGGGCATTCCACTGGTCCGTGCTTATTAGCTCCCTTCTATGTCGTCCCCAACATGCCGGCGAGTCCCAGAAGCGCAAGTGGCAGCGATTCTCACAAATCGTTTTCATCTTACGGTTTAGCTCGTAAATCAGCTGATTTTGACTGCTCGAAGCACGAACTAAACCTTCACACAAGGTCGGCAGCTTTGCCATGGCCATAACTACTGCCGCCGTCTTCTTTAATAGCCGATAACATAGGTATCTGCTGGTGCCAAAAAGCAGAAACCCTGCTATCATGATACCAATGATATAAGCATCTTCGGCGTCCTCCTGAGACAATACGGAAAGACACATCAGCTTCCAAACCCTCCACAGATCCATGACATACCCTGCCACGTGCATTTCAGTGGGGCATGAGAGTTCTCCAAGATCCTGTCGCTTGGTTGAAAAAATGTTATCAATTGCGTTGAAAGTCCAGCTGACCAGATCCATGATAGTAATTTACCATTTGGAAGATGTGTAAATAGAAGCTCTGTTACACAAGACGGAGAGCAAAAAAGCAGGAGGAGGACGGGAGAGAGAAGAAAAGCATCTGTCTTGCTCGAGAGCGAGTGAGAAAAAATTTAGCAGAAGCTAATTCTGCTTACTGTTTCCAAAGTTAGCAAAAAGGCTAATCCGCTCAATGAAAAATTTGTTCCGCTATTAGCTGATAGTGTACTGGTGGAACTGTGCCCACCGCTGCAAAATACACACTATCAATTACAGCAACACATGCTAACACACACTATAATATACACTGTATCACAATATACACTAACAAATACAGCAACACATGCTAACACACACTGTAATATACACTGTATCA